AATGCTCTCTTTTTATACAAGACATTATCAAGGAATTTAAAAAACGTAGAAAACCCTTGGATTTGCATATAACCAGTAACGCCTATTTTGGCGATTGTCAGTTGAGTTAAGAAAAAACGCACACTCGTCTAAAAAACAGCTGTTGACAACTAAATTGTTATTATTAGCTATTTGTTCAGTCATAATTTCTCCCATTTATGATATCGAAAGGTCCGTTGGATGGTAGTTGTATAAATATTGGTAACTGTAGCTTATTTCCTCGTGCTCTAAGTTGCACCAGCAACAACTTGTTCTTAAACTCCTGTCTCAACAGCTTTATTTCTCACTGGACGTACACGTTCAGGTCTAAAAATCTCCAACTTCTTCTCCAAAACACCATTTCTCTCGCTAGAATGTTTGTTTCCATGTCCTTTTCTACCCAAGTTTTTGATGCGTACGTCATTATACTTTGGATAATGGATGCGTATAATATTCTAAATATATAATTATCCCATTATACAGAATTTTAGTTTCTGTTTTTCAGTTCTTTGCTATTGTATAGAATTTGTTTGTCCATTTTATTTCCAGATTGTGTTCTTTGTTCAGATGTTCTACTGTGGGTTATGTTGACAGGTATTGGTTTGAAGATATGAGCTGTGCCATGATGACCAGTGGTCATCCGCGTATATAAAGATGGTCATCTCCCATACATTCGCATTTTTGTTTTCATTTGGGTAGTGTGTCCTCTGTATAATATAATAATATTATATTACTACTACAGGAATGGCCCACATCTACACTACTATTTGTGGGCCATTCCTGTAGTAGCCCTTTGCTGGTTTTGATAGTGTTTTCATTAATAATAATAATTATATATAATAAATCTTAAAACTATAACGTAAAGCATACATTTTTAATTTGTAGATAATAAGGTGTAAATCTATTGTTAAGGCTTCCATTACGTGTATAATATAACGATAATTGGAAAATAGGAATTGAATGGTGGTTCTTGTTAGTAGTAAAACATAAATAATATGTAAGTTGTAAAACAGTTATTGTTATTATTGATAATACGATAAGTCATTGTTGTGTTACGAATAATTGATCGTGATCATGTGTAACAATAAATCAAAAGGCAAGACCACCTACGCGTCGTGGCACAGACTTTCTGCCAGAATAACGTTATTAATTGCTTATCGAAAAATTGGACCACGCTGCGAATATCAATATGTTATTATTTTACAATGCGAAACATACGAGATCACTGAGAAAATAAGACACAAATTGAGATATGTATTTTCAATTAAATTATACTGAAATCTCTGACAAATATTGTTTACTGAACGATGCTCAGTGAGCGTGGAACCTTAGATGAAAGTTTCCAAGCGATTCCAATTGAGATTCAACACTTATGATTCTTATAGCATATTAATAATCCTTTAATATTTTTATACGCATTAAAATCACTGTAAAAAAATATAAATGAAAAACTATACAAAAATTGTCTACTCCCACCTTTAATAATAATAATAATAATCTTTATTTGTTTAAAAATACCAGAAGGTGTAAAACACGTCAAATATAGATAACATCATAACATAATTTAAAAATTAATAATACAGTTTAAAAGAGATAGACAAATAATAAATAAATAAATAAATGTGTTTCATACAATACTAAACACAGCATTACAAAAAATAATAAAACGTCAATTATCGTACATGTTTCCATGACACTAAGGGATCTTTTAAATACACATTGACAAGTTGTGGCTTTATGGCGTTTTAGTCACGGGCTGCAGTTAGCACCAGGTTTTAAGTCACGGGCTTAGTTTTAAGTTAGTTGACAGTTGTCAAATGTCATGCAATCGTTAAAATAAAGTGCCTTTCTTGTAAAATAATACTAAATGTAAAAATTATTTTATTATCTCAATTCAAACTCCACCCTCAATAAACATGTTCTTCACTTTCACTGTGAAAAACTGCTGTTAATCTATTTTCAAGGGATACATTTTGATTTATAACACATAAAAATTGAATATTTGACGGTAAAACAGATTCCTAAGTTGGTTACTCTATTGTTTTATAGATGTCGCTCTATACAAATATTTAATTTAAATAATTTTTAAATAATAATAATAAGTATTTGTCATAGAAAAAGTATAGTATGCAACTCGTTTATAAACTTTTCTAGACACTCTTAAATGGCGTTTGACAAACTTGATACATACTATAATTCTCGTTTTTTTAATATTAATTTTTCATAATACTTTTATAATCAATTTATAATCTCTGTTAATTTAATTTCGCCTAATAAAAAAATTTATAAAAAATTAATTAATTTAAAAATAATACAAAAAAAATATTGAAGTCGATTTCCTGTAAACAGTAAACAGCCCGTCAATAAAACACGTCGTTACATCGTTTTGATAAATGCCATTTAAATAACTGCCGCCGCTTATTTAATTTGAATTAATTCATTAAAATTTAATTTAATTTCATCCTGTGCGAAATTAAATTTATTGCTATTTAATAATCGAAAGCCACATTCCACTTAAATTGTCTTATTTTAATATTATCATATAAATATATTGCTTGCAATGCCTGATTGCCAATAAGATTTAATGCACCAGTTCATATTTTACTTAAAACATTAATTAATTTATACAAGCTTATACAAGTTATTAATCAATAAGCATGTGATGTAAACTATAATTCACGAGAATGACGAGCCAAAGGCAAGTGTTCTAAACCATAGAGGGTTGTCTATAAAGTGCATCCCTTCTGTAGAGAGGGGGGTTAAGACTTTGTTATAATGTATTTTATCTCCACGCGGTCTATAATTTAAATTTTATTTTTGTCAACATTCGATAAAGAAATACCTTGTTATGGCCTAGGCCTATAAAAAAATTTATGAGGCAAGTAATTAGTTCGATTTTTTCTCGCTAGGGGTATTGTTTTGACTATTTAATCCTTTTCTAAGAAGTTAACGTACTAAACTGGTTTAATTTATTTATAATAAGCACTAATTTGTTTGTTTTACTGTTAATGTTTAATATGTTTCATTAAATTATTGTAAAATTAAATATGAATAATAAAACAAAAAGTGAGGTTAGGCAACCAAGAAAACGCACGATTCTTTTTCTACGATTTAAATTATCTTTAAGTTTTAATTTGCTTTAAGTTTACAGTGAAATTAAATGTTAAACACAGCTTAAACATATCAAACTACCTATTTTTTAAATAAAAATACCAAAAATTGAATTAGATATCTACATATTTATTAAACAATTAATTGAATTCAATGTAATAGCAAAAATCCATTTCTACTTAAATCATGTAGCTAGGTATTGTCAAACCATTACTGATTCTAAAAGCAATAATAATTATTGTACATTTAATGTAATCTTTAGGTAATAAATAAATGAGATTCTAAAAAAGTGAGGTTAGGCCGCTTTGATGTTGAATTAAATTGACCTATATAAAGTGCTTTGAAGATAAAATGTTGTATGCCATTCGGCCAAGAATTGCCTTTTTGTGCTTCGCTCAATTGAGCTTAGCACAAAAAGCCTTACTTCTTAACCTAATGACATAAATAACTATTATCTCCTAAATTGTTTCTACACAGTAAAAAATATTTGTTTATTTTAACCAAATATTAACCAGATTTTATGTTAATCTGTTAACTGATTGAATAAGTATTTTGTAATTATAAACAAACATTTGGTAGATTTAATAACAAAATCCTGTCAATAATTCAGCCATAATTCTTGTAATTTTAAAAAGGACCTTATTTTTACAAACCGTTTTGTAAGCCCAGTAACAAAAGTATTTGTTGAAAATTGGGAATTTAAATGAAAAGAACTTTGATAAGAAATGTTGCTTTATTAATTAATTTCATAAACAAAAAAAATGAAAACATACCCACAAAAATGAACACAAAAATAACATACCTACACACAATTAAATACCACACCATTATGAAATCTTCCAATTATAAAGATATTTGGTTCAATATAATTAACAGCATTACTACTACACTTGCTGATGTATTTCGTAACTTTAACCCACTAATTTCAGTTTGAAAACCAGTGATGGCACCTTTTTTCAGATACAAATAAAATAATTTCAAACCCTGGTTTTAAAAAAATATATATGTTAAAATTTAACAAATTTCAAATTAACAAACTACAAACTCATGTTAACAAATCTGATTTTTATAACAGAATAAAATAAAACTATCAACTATTTTGAAATTCTAATAAATAAAGCCTAATATACATAATTATTGTTTTTAGAAAAAATAACGTGTAGGTATATAAACATTATCCAAATTTTTTGTTATCGTTAACGTAAATATCATTCCAATTAAATTAAATCTTTTAAAAAAGAGCAAAGAAAACAAAATATGCCGTCTCAAGCTTTCATACGCTTTTTATAATAAATTTGCGAGTTATATATTAAAGCATTAATTTAAAAACACAGCTATTTATAAGCAGTACATTAATTCTTCGTACGTCAAAATATAATTTTATTCAGTTATCAAATTCCAAATCATAAAAATTCGTCGAATCGCAAAACTTTTTTAGACAAATCAATTAAGCCTAACTATACACTCGGTTTCGTGTTATGAAATATGTCTCATGTTTAAATCAAGCGACGTTTTTGTGTGTGCAAACAAAATTCTGACCGCATAAAATAACATCTGCGGTGCATCGCTTGATATCAAAAGAATATGACAGAAGTGGTATTACACCTTTTTACGATTGACGCAAAAAACTGGTACTGATCTTATGATCTTAAACTTAATTCTGCTTTTTATGGCCAGCAAGACGTATCGCATTGTTACATGTCAGGAGATGTGAAGTGCGATATGTAAAGGATTTTCTCATACATATTTTATTTCTGAAAAGGTAGGGTAAGATGTAAATGCATTTTTTAAATTCATTCAGTTATAAAAATCCTAAATAAAAAAAAATATGTTTGCCGCATCAAAAATATGAATTCTTGCAAAAATAGTTTTCAGCCTTGTCTTGTCTTGTCTTGTCTTGTGTTGTGTTGTGTTGTTTTGTGTTGTGTTGTGTTGTGTTGTGTTGTGTTGTGTTGTGTTGTGTTGTCTTGTCTTGTCTTGTCTTGTCTTGTCTTGTCTTGTCTTGTCTTGTCTTGTCTTGTCTTGTCTTGTCTTGTCTTGTCTTGTCTTGTCTTGTCTTGTCTTGTCTTGTCTTGTCTTGTCTTGTCTTGTCTTGTCTTGTCTTGTCTTGTCTTGTCTTGTCTTGTCTTGTCTTGTCTTGTCTTGTCTTGTCTTGTCTTGTCTTGTCTTGTCTTGTCTTGTCTTGTCTTGTCTTGTCTTGTCTTGTCTTCTTAAACTATGGTATGAATAATTAGATTTAAAGTTAGGATTCGTTTTTATTACTCGTGCATAAAGCAAGAATTTAATCGAAATATTTATAGTTAATAACTATTTTAAACTTGCGAAAAAATGTACACAATTATCGTGCACGAAATTAAATACTTTTTTTAATTCGGGTAAGCTGAGTTTAGTGGCATTAGTTGTTTTTTTAGGTTAGGTCATTTAATCAAATAATGTTTTTCCCATGCGGTTTTTTGCTGTAATATTTTGAGTATTATATTTCTTTTTGCTAAAATTCTATTGGATATTCACTGTTTTGGTAAATTACACTAAATAAAAACCATTTTAACAAAGAAATTGATTTGGTTGTAAAAATTTAATTTTTTACCATTTGTTTGCAAAAAAATGATTGATTCCGGGTTAGTTCCAAAATAATTCATGATCAATTAAAAAATAATTGTTGGAATTTAATAAAAGTAGATGAATTAAAGTGTGTAAAATCATAACTGCATTTTATTTTTGTTAATAAAATAAACTAAAATAAACTTAATTAGATTGCTAAAAAATGCTTTTTTGTTTATATTTTATGCAAAAATAAAACATTTTGAAATTGATTTAAAATAAAAAAATTAGGTATGAAAAAATTCAAATTAAAAAATGGTATTTTTTCAGACAAATCGATTATTCCTTTCGCATATTAGTATATTATGTATTAAGTTTAATAAACGCCATTTAGTCAATAATTTAAATTAATACATTTTAATTAAATTAAAAGTTTATAAACGAGTTGCATACTATACTTTACTCTACGACAAATACATATTATTATCTAAAATGATTTAAATTAAATATTTGTATAGAGTGACATCTATAAAACAATAGACTAACCAACTTGGGAATGTGTATTACCAGCGCGCCGGTGAAAATGTCGAATTTTTATGTATTATAAATCGAAATGTATCCCTTGAAAATGTACTAACAACAGTTTTTTACAGTGAACGTGAAGAAAATGTTCATATAAAATTTTCAAATATTGGCGTTGAGAAACTATTTAATACTTTTGTATTTTTGTATTGAGATAATAAAATAATTTTTACATTTAGTATTATTTTACATAAAAAGCACTTTATTTTAACGATCGTATGACTTTTGACAACTGTCAACTAACTTAAAAAAAACGTCAGCCTGTGACTAAAAACCTCTTGTTAACTTTAGCCCGCGACTAAAGTGCCATAAAGCCACAACTTGTCAATGTTTATTTATGTGTATGTAAATGTCATATATTTTGTTTATTTCAGTCGAATTTTAGCAAAATAAATTAAATAAATTTAATTACTTACTCAAAATTTTAAAGCAAAGTCCTGTGAAGTAAGTTCAATTTTTCAAACGTTAAAGTACCATATAGGAAGCCTAAATCCAGGTTTTCTACCATTAATCCCTTACAGCGTTTTTGCCATTTTAGATTAGGGGGTGAATTCGCGAATAACATCCTTTTTTGATTTTATAGAAAAATCAGCGGATGCCATTTTTTACTAGAAAAATGAATTATAACATATTTGTATACTTGTATTACGGTATTTTTTTATATTATAATATTTATATTATAATATTTAAATAAATGTATTATAATTTGTTGAAACTTTCTTATTAATACATTTATTAACATCAGTGACTAATGAGCCCGATTACAGTTGGGTTGGTGCATTTTTCGGCGCGATTGTAAATCGCCGTGTTCGTATGGGGTTGGCTTAATATAGCACATAACACGTAACGTAAATCTGCGCCCAGCGTGTAAAACAGCAATTTATATGAACGCGACCATAAATAAAACAATAATCTAGCGCTCCGCGGCCAACGTTTGTTTAGCGATAAACCTTTCAACAAGAATTATGCCCCCACAAAACCAAACTATGTTGAGTTTTTCTTCTTTGAAAATGTGCAGTTTTTATTTTAATAGATTGACAACTTTTATTTTTTGAACATTGTTATCTCAACCATCCTTTCTGCATACTGCAATAAATAAACAAAAAATGTGGATTTCAATAAATCTTCTCTATTAAATTGTTATATTATAAAATTATTGCTCAAGACCAAAGAGATATATGCGAATAATTCGCCGTAATGTCTGTTAATATCGAACAATCTCAGAAATAGCTGAAGATAATTATAGATAATTAGTTTGTCTACATTGGCAAGTGCTTGGTAATTAATTAAATTTTACTGTCAATTATTGTACACCTTTAATTTAAAACCTGACTGCCTAGGCATGTCTGTACAGCTGACAATGTTAATAATAAATCTTTATTTAATTACAGAAGATATAAGAAGCTTTCAAATGGACATTAACACCATCATACTGAAAAATTGATTTAACTTTATTGCAGAAAAAGAAAAAAAATCTATTATCACAATATTTTGAAAGCCTTCGTTTCTAATTGAATAAATAATCGCTTATAATAATTGGAAAATATTTAATGTCTAAAAGACATGTTCACTATTGCTTTTGATATTTATCTGACTACATAATAAGATGTAAGATAAAACCATTTCATTTAGAAAATGTTAAGCCAGCTACATCTTGTATACAAAATTGAGTTGGCCACTGATCTTTAGGAAATAAGTAGGTACTGAATAGTTTATTATCAAATGATTATTTAGTAAAAAACGTATTCAAACGGAACATGTTGATAGTTTAATATGATTTTTTTTAACTTATGTATATATCTAAAGTGATTTCAGTTTTAGTCGATATTAATGTTTCTAATACGTTGAAACAACACATGCGAAATAGTATATTAGTATATAGTTTGATAAACGCCATTTTAGTCACAAATTTAATTTAGTCACGAGCGACCTATTTAATACATTTGTATTTTTGTATTGAGATAATAATAGTAAATTATGTATCAAGTTTGATAAACGCCATTATATACACGAATTTAATTTAGACACGAGCGAGCTTGCAAGCGAGTGCTTAAATTAATGAGTGTATAGAAAAGTTTATAAACGAGGTGCATACTATACTTTTTCTACGGCAAATACTTATTATTATCTTAAAATGATTTAAATCAAAAATTTGTATAGAGCGCCATCTATAACACAATGGGGGAATCTGTGTGTCACCGTCAAATGTCAATTTTTTTATTTTATAAACACAGATTATGAGCACTTTACAGTGGAGTCCGTGCCCGAATTTAAGTTATAGTTTACTGCCGGCGAAATTAAAAGGTCAGTACAATGTTCATATAAACTTTTCAAATATTGGCGTTGATAAACTATTTAATACTTTTGTATTTTTGTATTGGTCCCATGGTTAACCATGGTACAAGTGAAAAAGCAGCCACTAATAACTGTAGTAATTAATCATTTTTGACTAATTCATTTTTAGAGAGCAGTACAAACGTTTATATAATCTTTTTAAATATTGGTGTCAAGAAACTATTTAATACATTTGTATTTTTGTGTTGAGATAATAAAATAATTTTCACATTTAGTATTATTTTACAAGAAAGGCACTTTATTTTAACGATTGTATGACATTTAACAAATGTCAACTAACGTAAAACTAACTTCAGCCCGTGACTAAAAACCTGTTGCTAACTTTAGCCCGTGACTAAAGCGCCATAAAGCCACAACTTGTCAATATGTATTTAAAAGGTCACTTAGTGTCATGGAAACATGTACGATAAAGGGCGTTTTAAAGGTGGAAGTAGAAAAATGTTATTAAAATGTTTTAGATTAGATGAAGATTTCAGTATTAAGTAATTCTTAGGTAGTATCCAATAAATAGTTATCGTTTTACTTAATGGAAATTTTAAATTATAAGATTGTTATCTTTATGCTTAAGGTAGGTATCTATTTTATGTAAAAACCTTAAACTAAATATTTCAGGAACTCTTTAATGTCAATTTTGTGGACATGATACTTTACTACAAACGGCTTTTTTAATTTGTTTTATGAAACTGGTCTTCTAACATGTTTAAGATGATTACCTACATCATAATAAATTTTCCATAACATAAATGTACCTTTTCATTTCATTTAAATAACATCAATTAATAGTGAATAAATAAATACGTCCTCTATATACAAATTCTTAGGTGTATTTGCTCAATTATAATTAAATTGATGCTGCCTTTATGAACAATTTAACCTATTTTGGTGCTTAACGGAGATTTCTGAAGTTTAGCACAGAAAATCCAACCGACACGAGACGGGTTGGTAATGAGCGTGTGATTTGCATCGAAGATATCTTTTAAACGGTTGTAAGTATCAGGAGAGCATGAAGTCGCAGAGGTATGTCAGGTATGCTAGTAAACAGCCACCGCCAGAAATGTACAGCTATAGCTACAATTCCATATTTAATTTAAGCCATTCGGAAGGTTTGCTTTAGGAATTCTGAAATTAATAAGTGTGTATTTATTTTGCTGTAATACTGCGGTATAAATGTTTACGAGGATAATGTTTGCGCCTCGACTCGCCAGGTGAGAGGCATATTTCATCCGAGTGAATAATGGGCATAATATCGAATGTAATACTATACTTTATCTACTCCAATAAGTAGATAATTAGGTGATTTTCAAAAATAAATAAAAAAAAACTGTCAAATGGTGAACCTCACTTTTGACCAATTTTAAATGTTATTATAGTCGCATTCTCCCAATTTAAAACCTGATTGCTTCAAATCACAGTGAATATTGAAATCGACCAATCACTGATGCGTAACAACGTGAATAATGAGTTTATTATGCCCGTTGTTAGACATGGGAATTATAATGTTTATCATTATTCACGGAAAAACCTCAATATTATGCAAATATAAAATATTTAATCTGACAGATACGATCTGTCAGATTTGACATTTGTTATTTAATATTGTGAGCGCAGTTTCAACCCGCTCCTATAGGTACTAAAAATCGTATTATTAATCCAGGCGCTATAAAAAATTAATTTGTTATTTTTGTGGGTTTAAAAATTTAAAAAAATGGTAGGACAAATTCGCACAGTGGAATAAATTTAAAAATTGGTAGGACAAATTTTCAAAATTTTATTATTTTTAAAATTAAAAAATTCAAACTTAAGAAAATATGGGACAAATTCAAACAGTAGTTAAAATTAAAAAATAGTAGCATAATTTACGCGAAAACATTAGACACGCGATAGATTTCAACGGTGTGACGTCATAACTTGAGCGACCAACTGGTTGGCCGAAATAAATATTGTCAAGTTTGGATGAATTTAACAATAATTACTAAAGTTTCATTATAATTATGTTATTTTTAACCTAAAATTTATATTTTTTATTAAAAAAAAAGGACTCGAAATGAAAATCCTATTGTTTTATTAACAATTTTCATTTCTATGACATTTCACCATCTTGTAGAAAGTTTTATTTGCTACTGTAGAGGTTTTGTGCACTTTGTAGATCTACATAAAGTTA